CAGCTATATGTGAACATTGCGATTATCCAAAGCATTCTTTGCATTTGGTCTTCACACATCTCTTTTTGACGTTATTAATACGATTTTATTTTAAGTATCACAAATCTTTTTTGAAAAACATTTGTTGTATTAAAAAATAAATGCAAGCAAGACAAGTGCAAGACAAGTTTTTGAAGTAGCCCATGAGAAGCAGGGCAGCAATAAAACTATGCTGAGAAACAGAGAATTATTTGAAGCGTGATGTGTCGTCGAGTAATGAATATGAAATGATTTGAGCCGTAAATTGATAGTTGTCAATTTATCAGATTATGGGAATACTGCATAATCTGATCACTTAATTCATCGATGAGATTGAATGAAGAGAAGTGCACGTAAGTAATAAGAGTTTGCTTGATGGAAACAATCAAAAATATTCATTTCATGCGTTCTTTTGCAGCGATATCCTTGAGTGTCTGACAGATTGTCGAAAATGCTGGTCGTTCATTTGGATCCTTTGCCCAACACTGTGTGATCAGTTGGGATACCGATGGAGGAGTGCCCTGAAATGCACTTCGAAATTAAGGTGGAACAAAGATTCACTGAATGACTAGTGAAGATCAATGGAAATGATTTTGTTGCATTATCGAGCAGCATCCAGGCTGTCATCTTTACATATGTACATCTTAAACCTCGTTATCCAACTTCCAAATTTTTGTTGTTGAATTGACATAGAAAGTGAAAGAATCAACGTGAAAAAACGACGGGCTTGAGAGGCACCTAGAAGTTGGCTACGCTAAGGTGAAAAATAAGCATAACTATACAGTAATAACCTTAGGCATTTCCATACGATAGTTCTGAACAATAATCTTGGCTCGTGTTTGAATATTCGATAGATTTGGATATGGTTCACATCCCTCTGCATATATCTCCCAGACCTCAATAAACTCATGCAGATCATCTTACTCTACGATGCCTAATTGGTACGTAAACTGCGACTGAAATATATAAACATATTGCTGCTATGCTAATAAAATCAGTCGATAAGCATTAAGATTTCCGTCGATTGCATGCACTTTCGATTCTCACTCTTAATTTTTGAGTGATGACGTTGTCCGCAGATGACTGAACTGAGCAAATTCACTGAAAATTCACAAATGGCCAACGAATAATAGGAATTTGAAATATTAACCATAATTCCATAAGACCAAACATCAGTTTTATTCGAGTAGATACGTTGTTGCATTGTTTCTGGCGCCAACCACTTTATTGGTACCTGAAACGATGAAGTTGCACTGAATATATTACATCTATGATATGATACCACCGTCTCAATCAGCACGACTTTGCACAATTACATACATTCGATGCACTGAGCGATTCCGATACTGATCACAAT